GAGGTTTACAGAACTACTTCGTAGAGATTTTTTGTTCTCCCACAAGGGAGCACGTACCATCCAGTTGGCTTCATGTGTGTGTGATGTTACCAGCTACTGATGCTCAGTGCCTAGATCCATCAAATCTTTTTTTTTTTTTTTTTTCGGACTGTACCCTGCCAGGCTCCTCCATCCATGGGATTTTCCAGGCAAGAATACTGGAGTGGGTTGCCATTTCCTTCTCCCCATCAAATCTTTAGACTGGCAAACAGAACACTGGGGCACTGTTACAGACACAGTTATGTATACACACATCCATTTAAACACATTTCGGGAAAGAGACATATCTCAGGCCCACTCTTGTCTTTTCTTTAACAACCTCATTGCCTTGTTATTAACTGCTTGGACCTCTCTTGTTTGAGACTTCTCTTTTTTCTGTATGAAAACATGATGTGTATAATAAAAAGCAGTCACTGAAACTTACACTAACAACTTTCCAAAGGGAACACAGTTCTTCTAGAGGAGAGACAAGAATGAACTAAGAGGAAAGAAGCCTTTATAAGATAAAGAAGTCACAGAGAAAGGTGTATCTGAGCTCAGTACACACTTAAATCTGAATCTACCCAGAGAAAATTTGTCATGAAGGTGACTTTTTAGAGCTATGAAACATCTGAAGCTTGAAAAATTAGTACAGGAAAAAGAAAAATCTTAAAATGCCCCTCATTTTAAAGTTTTCTGAATGAAAACTCAGTATTCACTCATGTGTTTTTAAGAATGTCAAATTTGAGTGGGAGAAGGAGCAATTTGAATTTTTGTTTTGTTTCCTTTCTTCAGGAAGTGTGTATTTTATCTTAAACCAGTTCACCAATACCATTACATTCTGGGGTCAGGCTGGGCAGTTTTGTGCCATTTGACCTAACAACTTAGAGACTTCTGAGTGACAGTAATAGTCTGCTGCCCCCTAGGAGTGTTCTAATGTCTGTCACAACATGAAAGGTATTCATTTAACAGAGACACAACAGAATCAGATAAATGAGGCATGTGTATCTGATTGATTGCAAGGATTGGGGAGAGAAGTTTCCTCTCATTCAATTAACGATAAATATTTACGCCAAGTAGAATTGAAATCGGGCTATCCTCTCATCCCATAATGTGGGGGTTAGGAAGGGGGTTCTTTTTTTTTTAAGACTTTATTGAGATATAATCCACATGGTGTATGATTCACACACTTAAAAGTGTCCAGTGCAGTGTTGTTTAGTATATTCATAGGGTTATGCAACTATCACCACCATCTAATTTTAGAACATTTTCATCTCTCCTAGAATCAGCACTATACCCATTAGCTGTCACTTCCCATTCTCTGCACCCCCTAGCTTCCCTCAGCCCCAATCAACCACTGTTGACTTTGTTTATAGATTTGCTTGTCTTGGGCAATTACTTTTTAAATGTTACTCATAATCTGTTCCACTAAAATACTTTTCTTATTTTTTTTACATTACCATAAGAGCAAGAACAATAGAATGAAGTCCTCAAAAACACGAAAGGATCTCAAAAAATTGTAGCAGGATATCCCACAAAAATGTTACAGCCAGTAGCATCTGATGGTTTAAATAAATGTCAAGCAGTGAAGCCGTGGGAAGAAGACAGATCACAGTATCGTTTGAGTCAGATGCCAATTATTTTAAATATAAACTTGAAACAGGCCTGAGTTGCCGAACCTTTTCTTGCTCTAAGAACAGCAATTTTTGCAACCAGGAATATTTGCAAATTCAAATCCTAACTTCACTGCTTACCAACTCTGTGTCTCTGGGCAAATAACAGGAGATTTGTAAACTTTAGTTTCCTCATCTGTAGTATGAGAACAGTGATGGTACCAACCTTATCAAGTTAGTGTGGAGATTCACGTATGCAGAGCCTTTAGACACACATAATAAGTGCTCAGCAAATGTTAGAACCAAGCATGGCACATAATAACTGCTCAGCAAAATTAGTTGTTGTCTTTTTACCACTTCTGTTCATAAGAACTCAGTAAACCAGGTCAAATTCCACAATGGAATGCATGGGTATGCCAACTTTTCACTTGCCACATGTGATTGATATTTTCAGAATCTCTACTCAAAGAAGCTTTCTGACATGAAAACAATGGATTGGAATTTAGGATACTGTAACTTAGGGATAAACAACATTGATCAAGTATGATTAATAAAGCTATAGATTAGCCTTCAGTTGCTTTAGAACGATGTGTTCCATGAATAGTAAAAGTGTTAATTTATTATTCTTACCTAACATTCGTGTAACAGATTTTCCTTTTCTAAATTAAAAGAGAAAATTAACAGCCTTGAAAGAAAGCTTATATAATGGTAAATATTACACATGTCCAATAAAATAAAAGAGTAGATTAGAGCATTATAAACTACATATAACCTCTTCTAGTTGAAATGTTTAACTAAGATCTTTAATATATGACTTTTAAATCTGTGCGTGTGAACTGAAGTTGTGATTTGGTTCTGTGTCCATAAATTAAGGCAATGTGACCACCAACAAAAGATTCCGTTACCCTTTCTTTAAGTCCAGTATGAAATGACTTTGGGTATTAGACTGCTGATATGTTAGATAATTTTATTTTTGAGTAATTATTGTGCATTTTCTGTTCTTTTGAAAAGTGTGGTGCTAAATATTATGATGTCCCAATCAGATGACTCATGATACACAACATTTTCATACTCCGGAAATGTTAACACATTACAGTCCTTGCCTTGAAAATATAAAAGAATGAATCACAAACAGCACATTTTCATTTTCCTTTGACCCTGTGAGACAATTTAAACAATGTGGTTTGCATGCAGCACCCTGTGGCCCTCAAAGGCCTCCACATTGTCCGTTTATGTCTACATTTTAACCCCAAGCTTTACTCGTCTTGGCATTGTTTTGTAGTTGCATGAAAACGTGTGTGTGTTGTTTTTTTTTTTTTTTGCATGACAAGTCATCTGTAATGTTGAAGTTAAATGTCTAACATATCTTGCAATATCACATGTCATTAATTCTTACATTTTTTTCTTTTATTTTCAGTTACTGAAGTGTAAATATGCTTGAAATGTAAAAGTGGCATGAAACTGGAGTGATGCAAGAATATTTAATGTTCCTTTAAGAACTTACCATTTTTTAACTGGGGAAATTTGGGGGGCGTTCCCAGCCTTGTCTTTGGATACCAATCCCTCAATTACAAATTATGATAAAACTATTTCGAACACAGTGCTGTCAGTAGAGTAATAAATTCTGAAGTGATACTTTTTTCTCATGAGAATGTTTTTCTAGTTCTTAAATATGAAGTATAAAATGTGTCCCCTAATTTCAGAATTTATTAGATATTTGATTTATTGGTTTCCTTAAAGCCTTCTTAATAGTACATAAAATTAAGCTCAACTAACTTTGGTGAAATTTCCTAATAACTAAAAAAGTAATGAGTTACTGAATATCAGCACCAACATTCTAGTACTTTAATGTTTTCTAAATGAACATAACTATCAAAATGGATATTTGGTATAGGAGTGCATGAATATACAAAGAAAATAAGTTATTTACAACATTTTGTCAAGCATCAAATTCATAAGAACACATAACTGTTCCAGCCAATGGGCTGAAAAGTACCGTTCTCTCCAAATAGTCACCGTGCTGGCTCTGCATTTATTTCTGCCAGCTGCCATTGCTAAAATCATGTTAGATACCCCTTGTCAAATTACCTTCAGTCTTTGGCAATTAATACCTATGTAGTTACAAATCTTGTTTCTTAGAGAGAGAGAGAGAGACACTCAGAGCCAAATTGGCCAAATAAGCTGGCAAACATATTTTTAAATGATATGTGAATATAAAATTACCGAGATGTACATGGCTTATAGCCTGTGAAATGACTGAGAACATGTTTCCCAAAGAAGAACCCCAGAAAGCATTTCCATAAGAGCAACAATGGGAATAAATGAAATTTTCTTAAGGAGTCTTTTCAGGCAAGCATCTGATATTCACTTGAGAAAAACAAGTTCTGATACATGTATTCTGTTATGTCTATCTGTATTGCTTTAAATTCCACCTCATTGAAGATAACGGAGTGGTTTTCATTTTTAAGGACAGTTCTTCCATTATTTTTAATCATATCAGAATATAGATAAGTGGCCATCATACCTCCCTTCCTTGAATGAATATCAGGTTACTACCTCATTAGCAGCAATTGTAATAGGTTTTGGTTGATGGTGTCTTGACTGTCACCCGTGAGCTCCGTGCTATTGGCAAGGGACTCAGCCTCTCTGTGCCTCTGGCCCCCTGCCTACAAAGGAAGGCTTGAAGCTCAATTGTCTTTAAAATCTCTTTTGATTGAAAATATATTATAATTATCATCTATCTGTGTGAGAACTATAATTATCATATATCATAAATCCACACACATCTCTGTGAGGTTTTAATTAAATTCAAGCTGAAGTAACTCAAATTCATGTTATTGAAAAAGATATCTAGACACTGGTGTGCCCTATGTTTCTAATAGAGTCCTTTCTACCTGGTGATGATGATGATGATCAGGATGACATTTGTGTAGCACTTTGTGTTTACACTGCCTTACATGAGTCTCACAGCCTAAGAGCTGCTCTCGCAATCCTCACGATGCAGATGAAGAAGACGCTGAGGTTCAGAGAGATTCACTTGCCTCTCTTAAGTTGTTGAACTAGCAAGTTACAGAGCTGGACAGAGACTCTGGGTCTTCTGCTTCCAGTTTAACACTCGTCTCCTCCATCATCATTTACCTGCAACCAGTCTTTTATTTAATTAGGAGATGATTTTTCCAAAGTGTCATCATTTGGAATTTACAGTCCTGGAAACTAAAATCTGCTCTAAGGGACCCTCCCACACCCCTTTAGACTATCCACTTGCGTCACGACAGCTCTCTGCTTTTACAGACTAGTTGTTTTGTCAGCATGAGTGTGACAACAATTAGACGTCCCCTGTTTTTGCCCCATGCCTTTTCTCCTTCACAGTCATTCAATGACAAGCGTAAAAAGAGCTTCATCTTTTCACGAAAATTCCCATTCTACAAGAACAAGGAGCAGAGTGAGCAGGAAACCAGTGATCCTGAACGTAAGTAGATTCTCGAAGAGAATGTCACCTGCAACACAAGAGAAAAAAAAAATCCTTCATGGGCAACACGCATGATGTAGGCTGCCCCACGCCACACGCCTAGGCAAACAAACATGGCAGGCAGGCAGGTCAGGGCTTACTACTGTGACCAGTGTTTGGCTGCAGTCTGGATCCTTCCCTGGATGGAGCTCTTTTTTTTTTTTTTTGCAGAATGCATTGGAAAGGGACCTGAGGAAGCAGGGGACTTCGCTTCCAAACAGCACCTTTTTTCCAGTGACCAAGACTGTCTGGTTCACCTTTTCTATCATGCAACTCTCCAAGGGCTTGAGACAAATTCTTTTCGGGAAAGAAATCTTAGATTCCATTGCCACATGGATTGTTTTGGAGTGCTAGCTAACTGGGAATGATCAAATTCCCCTCTTTCGGTTACTAGCATTTGTTCACTCTTTCCCTGACAGTGAGCTTATCTTGGGATAATTGACCTTATTCTTATGCTCAATCTAAAAATTGGCCATGAAACTCAGAATGGATCATCACTCTCAGCAGTACGTTGCTGTGGCAGTATTGACAGTGGGTAAAAATGGCTCTTGTTGACTCTTTATCTTTTTCATGACAAACTTCTGCTTAAACCTTTCGAGTTGCAATATGAATCCTCAAGTCTCAGCCCAGGGAGTTTGGGGTGAAATTTGTTTCCTAAGAAGAGAGCGAGGGATCCAGATTGCTCAGGCAACACGGTCTGTCATGGTAGTATCCATTTCAACTCCACTGACTTCTTCCTTCCTCTTCCGTGGCTGTTCTCCCTCTCTCATTGCTCTCTCTGGGGACTTCCATGCAGGACATCCCCGGATTAGGTGACGACGGTTATGGAACAAAGACTCTGAGTAAGTTCCCAGGAATGGTCACTGTAACTTTTCTTTTCTTTTTCTTTCCTTTTGAGTTTGGCTTTTGTTCCTTTTCTCGAGGGCCTTTTCACTCCTAGCATGCACAAGATACGAGTTTTATTTGTTACCTAGCTGTGAATGCTCCTACCAAGTAATTTTCAACTGTTTTGTTCTGCATGTCAGCATTTAAAAACAAAGTGTCTCAGGCACTGTAACTTCCGCTGCAGTTCACACCTTCCCTTTCTGGCCGTGTGATGTGACCAACATGGTCCCGATGCCAACCGTGGCATCCTTGCTCTGTCTCCTAGTACCTCCCAGGGAGCAAGAAGCCATGTTGAAAGAAAGGGCAAGTTCAATGCTCTGGAACAGGAAAGCAGAAATTATCTTATGCTCTCTCTTCTGGCTTTTCACATAGACATATTTAATGACCTTGCCAATTTCCATAATTGGGTTGTTCTTTGCTATTAGTAAAGGAGCTACTTTATAGTCAAAAGGAACATGCATTCTCAAAAAGTAAATATTAAGCTATTTGATCTTCCATGAATAATTCCTTGCTATTAACTTTGACTGATTTTTTTTTCTGACTTGCAGTGATCCTGCTTGAAACGTTTGTATGATAAAGTTTTAGATATGTATTAATATGTTTTTCTATCAGTGATTTATTACTGCATTGCATAACCAGATCTTCATTTTATAGCTTAGAGTGGAAAGTAAAGTATATTAAACTAAAATTTTTCTAGTTATTAATGCCTTTATTCTGTGTCTCATTGCACTAATAAAAATAATAATTCTGTGTTTTAATATACTATGATTTTTCTGTCTTTGACACTAACCCCATTGTGTAGGCACCAATGAAATAAGAACCATTTTGTGTCTTTCGCAGCTGCATCACATGTTCATTTTTGTTTGTTTTAATTTAACAGCTATGGGCAATATTTTTAGAAGCTGTTCATTTCATTGCTAAGAAACAAAATAACATTGAGCTGGACTTTGTTTTCAAGAGCTGGTTATATAACCCTGCGTAATGATACCCTTCATCCTTCAAATTGTTAATTTGGATTTTTTTTTAAGATATGTATATTTAGAAAACAAAATCTGATCAAGAATAACTGCTGATCTCCTTAAAGATGAAAACTTTATCTTTGAGTCTCTATACAGAATATGCCTTGAAATTTTTCTTGAATTGGTGACTGAAATTCAAGTGTTGATTTCAACATTATCCAGTTAGCACCAAGTACCACCAGGGAGAATTTCTAAATTTTCAGTGGGGTTGGGTAGCATTTTAATATATTGTTAATAAATGAACATCTCTTGCTGTTGGAGAGTTGAAAGTATGTGATGCCCTTTTAAATCTGAACGTTTACTTACTCTCCAAAATTGAATATATTACACTAGGTAAAGTTATCTTCCAGTTAACAGTACTGGTAGCCGTAATTTAGACTTTAGCTAGAACATATTTTTAATTTCTTTTCACCTGCAAAATAGAAAAATTCTGTTAAACAATATCTTAACATTAAGAGAGACTGGTTGTTAAATAAACCGCTGTTTGATTCTAAATTTTTCTAGTGTAGCTTCATTCTGAATTATTTTAAAAGTGAAAATCAAAAACAAACAAACAAAAAAAAAACCTGTCATCTTTAAATGAAGGTGCTTGAGATAGTCACAGTCATGAAGATAAGCCATTGTTGGGTATGTGCTTTGACTTTTCAGTAACAAGACAGATTTGCACTGATTCATCACACTTACTTTCCTAGTGCCCCTTTGCACTGGTAACATGTGTACCTAAATTAATAATGCAGTTCTCATCAAACACCCACACAGAAAGAAATTATTTCAGTAAATTTAACCCATGCTTTAATTTTCATTAGTTTCACGCTCTAAAATCAGTCCATCCAGGATGCGTTAACTAACTCAATTGTAGAAGTCCTTTCACAATCCATGCATGTATCACATCATCACATAGTATACTTTAAAATACATGAAAATTTTATTTGTCAATTTTACCTTAATGATGCTAAAAAATGAAAATTAATCCATCCAACTGGCGAGAATCTATAATAGCAAATACATTTCAAAGCACTTCTTTCTAAACTGTTAGAGAATAATGTTATATATGCTCTTCTCTTTTTCTAAAGATTTTGCAACAGTTGTCCCTTTTTAAAAAGCCAAAGTTATTGCTAATGATCTTCACAGATCAAATAGTTACATATTCTTCATTCAGTTAGCCTGATATACAAAGAAGTTGATAAGTTGATGGATTTATCTTCTATAACTTAATAAATAGTACAGATAAATTATTTTGGAAATAAAAGTCCTAAATCTGGCACATAATCAGTACATCCCCCTGTTATGCTAGTTAAATTGTGTTTTTGTGGAAAAAAAATTTTGAAATATCACTGTATACTTGTCATTCAACCAGAGTTAAAAACATGCTTTGTGCCAGAACCTGTGCTTGGTATTAGACCATTCATCTTCTGCCTGTTCTACTTCCTCCAGAACCTAAGAGCTATCCAAGCAAGAATCTTAAAAACAAGGAAATATTGAACTGATTCATAAAACACTTTTCAGTGACTCATTTCTTCCTCTGAGGTGTCCCACATACTCACTGAAGCAGGAAAGTTCTTCAACAATCCCTTTCATTTTGTGAATTAGTTTAGGAAGTATTTAAATAGAAATAAAATAAAAGGGATTCCAGAGAGAGATCAACTGGCAATTTGAAATGCGATATTCTTGCAAAACGCCTAACAGCAAAATAAAGCAACGAAAAGCCTGTAAGAAACCAGTCCTTACCCACCAGAAGTTCCTGAAATTATAGTCAGGAACATCCAGTTGAGACACATTGACCTTTGTAACAAGAATCTGGAAAATCAGAGCTATACGAATGGGTCAAAGTGTTTATAAAAAGAAAAGTGCTTAGATGGACAGTATGCATTTTTTATAATTAAACATACTTTCCTGTTTGCTAATAAAAATAAGCAATAGCAATCAAGCAGCAGCTCCCTGGAAAATAAAGTTTTCATCTTCATCTTATCTGAATTTTCTTAATGCGTCTCCTCTGCGGCCTTACTTGCCTTTCGCTCACATTTCTAGTAGCCTTGCATGATATTCCTTTAAGTTCTGGCTGCTCTCCAGTGCTTGGTATCTCTTTAATTTGCTGTGCTGTCCTTGCAGAACATGTTTCTTCTAATGCCAGCGATAGCGAAAGTAGCTGCCGTAAGTTATTGCTTTGGTTTGTGATTCTTTTCTTTGCAACTGCCCCCTTGCCTGTGATGTTCATTTCAGATTTTTGCTGTTGTTTTTCAATTGCTGCCCTTTATCATCCTCATCCAAAGCAAATGGCTTGAAATGAAACCATCATTTGATGTGGAAAGATACAGAAGACATGAGGGCCATGGGTGAACTAATGTCATTTGTACAAGGGGTTGTGGAATTGCTAATAAGTTATTCCAGCCTCAGTTGGCTGTGGCCTGGTGATGCAATTCTCCTAGAGAAGGTGGGGGGGAAAATTTTTTTTTTTTATTTTGACATTCTGTCCTCCAAAAATAATTTATACACCCTGCAGAAAGGTTGAAAAGTCATCATGGTTTTATTTTCCTTCTCATTTTGCCTTTTCCTTTCTGTGCCTGGCTCCCCTTTGTGAGAGAAAGCCTGATAAATTAATGTTCCTTTTAAATGAGTATGAACCTTGTATATCTCTTCTCTCCTTGATTAATATTTTGAGATAGATACTATGTTATATCTAACTTTTAAATTTTGATGATTGGGAAGAGATGAAAAGTTTCATCCTCTAATGTTGAAGGAACTCACATTTTGTTTAAAAGTGAACAAATCTTGGATCAGAAAGCTTAACTGAAAAGGTAGGTAACTATTTAAAAATTATTTCTGATTTTTGTTTGGTCACCTCAAGCCATTTGCTGAGTGATAAAAGAATATTCACCAAATGCCAATCACATCCTTTTTTAATCTGTTCTGGTGGTTTCTTACCACGTACAGGTTTTTGGTGACTAAAATAAGTACATTTATCACTGGGATCCTTGCAATTTTGATATTTATTTTGTACTCGGTGAAATGGGTTACTCAAAAAGCAACTGCTTGTATTAGAAAATTGCAGGCCCACTACTTATGACCTTCACCTACCAAGATAGAAATCGGTTGGAGGTTTTTGTTTTTGGTTTGGGGTTCTTTTGTTTTGTTTTGTTTTTGGTCTTTTTTCTTGTATTAGTTGAAGATAAGCATAGAAGAACAGAATAACTTTTACTTTTGTTTTTTCCACTACAACATGGTGATTTATAAAACCATGCCCTTTTTTGAGGTGGAGTGCCAAATAGTGCTCTTGAAGTGTGACAAGTTCAATTTGGATCTTGAGAAAGGCTCTAGATAATCAAATTGGTGGGGAAATAGTGGGGGGGAAAGGTACAAAAGAGGAACTATGACAGATGGAGGGAGTAGGGGCTAGAGGAGGCAGATGAAACATGCCACAAAATGAAATGAAGAAAAGTTGTAATGAGATTCCTTGGATCAACCAAATATTAGAACCCCCTCATTTTCTTCCTCAATAGAATAACAAGTCCTAGTGATGAAAGGAATTAAAGCTTTCTTGTTTTTAGCACGATCTTTAACATCTTCACAGTCTTCCTACTCTTATACTTTTATGATTATCCCAAAGTGGGAAAATATTTACCTCTCCCATGTCTTCATTTGGTTCTAAAACAAAGAAACCTGGCTGGTTAAGAAGTGACCAAAGATTGTCTTTCCTGTGCCTGAGTTACCCACAATTCAGTATTAAGAAAATATAACCTACTTGTTGGGTTTCATGGAGACCCTTGGCCCCAATTTCTTGGATGTTCAGTTTTCAGTTTTTAAGTGTTGTGCTTCCATCCTGTAGAAACAGATAGAGAAATGGAAAACATCAAATTTTGTTCTTGCTATCCCTTTTATGGAAAGTATACAAGAACTACCTTTTCCTTCAGAAATCTGTTTTTAGAATATTTCAGAGGCCTCCCTGTTCTTCAGAGATGAGCATGTTCTTTCCAGAATCATTGTTATAAAAATTGCACCAAGGCTTTCAGCTGTTTGACAAGTTTTTGATTGCAGTGCTCCAAGTTGACATCAATAATTCTTTTCACTCTCAAATAGTAGGTGCACATAAAGGTTTATTGAGTGAATAAAGGAAACACTTGCAAACAGTTTAAATTATCTATGAGAAGAGAGAAGAGTTGGAACTGTACTATTAGTAGAGAAAATGTGGAGTCTAATAGTCTGTATTAACTTGGGTCTCCTCTGAGGGTACAGAAGGCTAGCCATTCAGATTGCTTTCTTTACAAATGAAAAAAGGTAAGAAGAGCCTTGTCATAGCTTAGAGGAGAAAAAAATGGACATTTCTTTTTCCAGGATAGAAATATGAGGAATTACAGAGGATTATTTCTTAGTTCATTCCCCTCTGTGTCATGCTCTCTCACAGGCACCTTAAGACTCAATGTAAGTCTCAGTGAACTCTGGAACTCAGCATGGGTAAAGAGGGAGAGAGATCAATACGTTAAGAAAGCATAAAGTGTGGCCGTTTCTAGCATAAAAGTCTGGCCCAAGAATAGTGGGGCTCCAGAGATAATTTCAAAGAGGAGGGGCCTTTGAGCTGAGCTTTGCAAAGATGAGGTACTTGCCAGCTCAGTAAAGTTGAAGAAGAAACTCCCCAGGAAAGGCATTGGCATGACCAAAGACACAAAGGCTTGGGACAGACACAGTTTCTCCAGAAAGTACAGTTTCAAAATCAAACCAGGCTGGATTTGTCTACTGAATTCCTGGCTTTTGCTGTAATTATGACTTTTATATTTTATGAATAGCAGTGTAGACAAATAAAATAATACCTCTTTTCACTCATTTTCAGATTTTTTTTTTTTTTTAAACTCTTAGGGTTAGGGTTCCATGTCTGCTCGGGACAAAATGGCTAAAAAAATAGTGGTTAGAAAGACTGGCAGGCTTCCCAGGTCGCGCTAGTGGTAGGAGACATAAGAGACGGGGGTTCAATCCCTGGGTCAAAAAGACCCCCTGGAGGGGCGCATGGCAACCCACTCCAATATTCTTGCCTGGAGAATCCCCATGGACAGAGGAGCCTGGTGGGCTACAGTCCATAGGGTCATAGAGTCAGGCACGACTGAAACAACACCCACACACAGAAAGACGGGCCCAGGCCTGTGTGTTACATTCTGGAGTTACAGATTGTGCCAACCTTACTCGAAACCCTCACATATTTTCTGAGTTACATATACATGCACATGAATTTACACCAACCTCAATTTCCAATAAATAGCCCAAACCTTTGATGCACCATCTCAAGAATTATACCATATTTTTTCCAAAGTCCAGTTATACTGAGCACTAGCTACAATGCAGTTTAACAATGTACATTATCTAATTATGCAAAATGCTGTCTCATAACTACCTTAATTATGGGCTAATTCCAGATTTCTGTCAACAAAGTAATATAATAAAGCGCAAGCTTGTGTTTGTTTTGTATCATACCTTTGAATTGCCTTTATATGTGACGGCAATAAAGACCAATTAGCTATAATGAAGACCTTGCAAATCTCTACAAGCTGAAGACCTGCCTTCCTTAAAGCCCAGGAGAGCTCTTGTGTTCTTATGGATGTGGGAGAGCTGATGATTATCCTCCTGACCCATTGGTGCTCAGCAGTTCAATAGGATTTTCAAACCAAGGATCTTAAAAAATGAACTGAGTGAAACTGAGATGCTGAAATGAAGAGATCTCAGACTTTCCCTCTGGAATCAGTCGAAATGGTGCCCCTATTCTCCTTTCTCCACTCTTCCCAAGTATTGGCCCTGTATTTCCTCAAGTTCTTACAAAGCAATTTTATTATATATAGTATCTCATTTGATTTCTGCAACAAAATTATGAAATATAACTTATATTTATACCCCATTAACTGATGAAGAAGCTGAAGTTCCAAAGAGCTACATTTCACTAATACTATGTCCCTGCAAGTCCAATCAAGATATTTTAATTCTGAAACTTAGACATTTTCACTATTCCCTGTGTTTTGTAATCCAAGCTTCTTCACGTTTTAGCTAGTACATTTCAACCATACCACCTATCAAATTAATTGGCTGTCCCTGGTGGTTCAACGGTAAAGAATCTGCCTGCCAATGCAGGAGACTCGGGTTTGATCCCTGCGTCAGGAAGATCCCTGGAGGAGGAAATGGCAACTGGCTCCGATATTCTTGCCTGGGAAATCCCATGGACAGAGCAGCCTGGCGGGCCCCAGTCCATGGGATCAGAGTCAGACACAGCTTAGCGACTAGACAACAACAATCAATACAGGCAGCAATGTTTATACAACACTAACTGTGAACTATGCCTGATTTTACGGACTCTATATATAGTAACATTTAATCTTCTGAAGGTCGTTTGAAGACACTGAATCAGTAATTCACTATGTGACCTTGAAGAAATCACTGAACAGTTTTGAATTTAGTTCTCTCCCATGTAAATGACTATCTTGGATTAGAAAAGAGATACAGGAAACAGACTTTAATCAAGACTGCCCTTTAATAGCTGCCTGAGGAACTATACTGAGAAGTGTTGAGGCCAAGTGAGGCTCAGCTGTAATTCAGGCAATGATCGGTGTGATGCGTGTCGAGGGTCCGTGAGGGAGAGTGAAGTCATGCTCCAGACTCTCCATCCATAAACCACGCTAACTCCAAACCCTTTCTTAGCACTAACATTCCGTGGTTCTAGGAAACTAGTTTATTCTTCATAATTATCCAATGCAGGCCCTAAACACTACATTTAGACCACTGAATGCCCTGCCACTGGTCTTCGCTTCCCTCACCTCTCTTTTCTAGTTTGGAAAAAAGTTCTAAAGAAAAACACCTTGTTTTTCCTCATCATGAGAGCGTATGAGGACCTTACTCCAAACCCCTCTTACGGTGGCTTGCTTCCAGTTTAAAGACAGTGTTTTCTGGAGGTTGTAACAACAACCAGCTTCGCTCTGCGAAGTCTCCGCCGGCAGCAGGCGGCCACCCCCAGCACTGTGCCACACTCCCCTTTCCAGCCGTGCGGTTGCCAAAACAAAACCAAGTAATTGTTTGTACCCTTGTGTCAGCTGTTATTTCTAAGTGCCGACACCTCCTGAGCAAAAAATAGAAAAACTACTAAGGACGACTATTTTTGGGAGATGACACAGCAGCATTATAAAAAAATAAGAAGAGTTAGGGTTTGCAAATGGAGCACCTTACGGCCTGTCAGTAACTCTGACCCAGGGTCCGCTCCCTGCTCTGCCACCCACCATTTTTGTTCGCCTGTGAGTTCTGCCTCTACATGCCAGCCCCCACAGAGAATTCTGCATCTCTGACCTTTTTGAGACTGTGCCCTATACTCAGCGAGGAGTCAGAAAAAAAGAAAAGATGTGGCTTTTAATCTTGACTCTACTACTTCCTGAGGAAACAGGCCCTGTCTCCGAGCCTCAGCTTCTTCGTCTTTAAAGTGGAGATCATCAGAGCACCTACCTCGAAAGAAATGGCTGTGGGAAATACAAAGCAACGGCTGCAAAAGCCCTTCATAGCCTGTAAAGCGCTATGCAGACATGAATTATCTTTCCTTCATTGCCGCGACTTTTTTTTCCTCCCCCTCATAATCTCCTTCCCATTACCCCTTGGGCTTTTCATTCTTGAACTTGAAAGTGAAAATTGGTTCCGGGCGCTGAATTCACAGCTATTATGTAATACCAGCTGCCCCAGCACCCCTGCGGGCTTCTGTACCTGGTCCCTGGTTGTCACACAGTCGTTAGAATTGGGATGGGTGTTGACCTAAGGGACTCTTGTCCTCACTGCTGTCTGCCAGTCTTAGTGCTCAGAACAAGAACCTGTGCTTCCTGTAGGTTAGACGTAAACCAGAAAGCAACAGGTAAACGAAGAACTACGGAACTCTGTTGCTTTGTCCTAGTTTTTTAAATCACACATTATACATACTGACACCAAATATTTTATTTAAGGTCTGCCTTTAGAATGTCCCATCAGAATGATTTGCAAGGCCATTAGAAAGAGATTCTCCTGGGAACACGGGGTGTTACATTAATTTAGGGGAAACCGCACTTCCCCAAATGAAAGCACAAAGTAGAACCTATTTTTGGCTTCATTGCTCATCCTGACTCGTACCACTAAAAGCAGAATGCAAACTCATTGGTCTCTTTATGTTAAGTACTGAGGTTGGATAACTGTGGTATGGGGCACCCAGTCTGGTGCAGAGACATAAGTATCACTTGATATTTATTCTTTTTTTGCATTTAAAAAGTTTGCAAGTTTTTTCAAGTATTTCTGTAACTGACATTTATTGTAATTATCTAAAGCCCTGAAAGAGAAATTAAATTGAACCGTAATTGTGGAAAAGTAGCTCCATAGCATGTCCTGTCACCTGATATTTAAAACCTGCTATCCCATGGGCAGGAGTCCCCTCTCACATATTAATCATTCAGGGAGGCATCTCCTGAAAGTTAGTATGACATTACAGTGTTGGTCTGCCATGCTTCCATCTCTAAAGCTATGCTTTTTTTTCCCCAACCATTTTTACACTTATCCTCTGAATTCATATGTCCTCTGCACATGTTAACCTTTAGATAACTAGACCTTAGCAATCATTCCCCTTTATTACTTTTTGACCCAGCTTCTGTAAATTTCAGTTGATTCATTTTTTAAAAGGGGATCTTTTTTTTTTCTGAATTAAAAAAAAAAAACATGAATCTGATTCCTCACATACCAAACCCCTGTCCCAATGTGGGAAGCTCCCTTGAACACTGGAGCAGTCATGGGTAGGTTCCACTTAGAGGAAGCACCCGTGCCCCTTCTCCGTGACTTTAGGAGGTAGCCCAGCCGTGCCATTCTGAGAGTGGGCCCTGCTCAAGGGTGAAGCGAGACACAATGTGGGCCTGGGGCCATTTCCCACCCCAGGGAAGACATCCGCATTCACTGCTTTAGCCATATACCGCCTAATTTCCTTAGATCAGTCTCATCATTATCAAACCTGCCTGTAATACTGACTCCTTTCATGAAATTGATTCATCCTCCAGAGGCTGTGGCTTCTGAAGCAGCAGCGCATGGTTCTGACCTGACTCTGGAAGGTTCAGGGGCTATGAGGAGATAGAGCAGTGAGACCCAGTGCCCTTCGGTTTCAGAAGAAACTACCTCTTATGACACACCTCGGGGCTTCCCAGGTGGCGCTAGCGGTAAAGAACACACCTGCCAATGCAAGAGGCTCAGGTTCGATCCCTGGGTCGGGAAGATCCCCTGGAGGAGGGCATGGCAACCCACTCCAGTAATTCTTGCCTGGAGGATCCGCATGGACAGAGGAACCTGGCGGGGTACAAGCCCGGGGGTCACACAGAGTCAGACACGACTGAAGCAACCTAGCACACACATGACACTTCTCCTCTATAGGACAGCATACAAAAAGCCCTTTTCAAAACTTAAACTATTTCCCCACCAAAGATAGTCAGTTCTAGGTCTAACGCAAATGAAAGTGTGGAGCCTTCTGAGCTGGCAGCTGAATCAGACGAATCTCATGCCTAGTTCAACTGGGCAAAATTGATGATTAGGGAAAAAAAACATTGGCAAGAACCAGTTTACTTTCCATGGTTGTATGTTGACTTAAGGCTCACCGTTAATCAGAAGGCTTACAGCAAATGACACTGGAAGGGTGGAAACTTATACTCCATGGTCTGCCTTACTTTTCAAAGTTTCAAGGCTAGATTTAGCAGCGATTAGAACAAGTGATAAAGGGCCCTCCTCAGTTTTTTATCTTCTTAACTGACCCAGGATTTTCTTGATGAATTAACATTAAAGTCTTAAGAGCCTTGGAGTATATAGGGTGGTGAAGTTTTTGTCTCACAAATGAAACGAGCAGACACTTGCTTTTGAACAGGGTGTTTCTTTGGGAAATGAAATGCAAGATGAAAGGTCCAGAAATTCTGATAATGTAGCAGCGATCTATTGGGTGGAACCTCTCCTTGAACTCAAGGGGCTCCTTATAAGTAGGAATATGGGGCGTGCAGCCGTAGCACTGCCGTTCACAGTGTCAGATCTAAGGCGGTCTCTTACATCATTGCCCTGCTGAACTGCAGAAGGCCAGCCTCCTGTCGTTCCTCAGACTTACGACCAGCGACCCCCTGCCTCTGTCACGGTGCTAAACAGTTCTGTGAGGGTGAAGGATGTGGGGACTGGTTGAGGAGGGAGAGCAAGGGAAGTTAGCCCTGAACTGGGTCTGTTTCCTGGGTTGCAGAGCAGGGCTTGTAGCTGTGGTTTGTGACTGGTTGTTAGTCCACTGTAATTTTTCCTTTTTTCTCTTCTCAGGAGGGCAAGAAGATTTCATTCTTTCTTATGAGCCTGTCACAAGGCAGGAAAGTAAGTTTCTTAGCATGCTCTGGTTCCTGATTTCCAGGCCATAACAGGCGACCCCATTTCAGGAGGGAATGAGTGAAGGACTCAGGGAAATAAACTGCTTAATATGCAGCAGTTCCCAGGCCAGACCCTGCTCTTTCTTTGGCCCTGTGGCCAAGCAGACACCTTCCCTGCAGAGTGTGTGCAGCGACAGCTCCCAGGAGGATGGAGCTGCGCCCTGAAAGAATGATCCTTAATAGGAAGGAGCACATCCAAATCAGAAAGAGCGCCACCGACAGGATTGATGGGTAAAAGCCCCCTGCAGGTTGATGTCCACTTAGTATTGAGGGCTTTCTAGCAGGGCTTCTGAAAGAGAAGCCTCCTTCTGGGCTGCTCCAGAAGCCTGGGAGGAATTTATACAGAGGCTGATGGCTCTTGACAAAGATCACAGAGAAAATTCAGGCATCAGAGGAGAAATTGTACCAAATGAACTTTTGAGTTCCTTGTAGCCCCATGATTACAAAGGAATTGGGAAAATCCAAGCAGAGAATGGAGAGTATTTTGAACTAAGGAAAAGAAAGTATAAAAACCTAAGATGTCATTACTACTAATGATGACTTTTGAAGTCGTTGCCTAAACAATGGTAAAAGAGCTACTTTGGAATCTTTTTTTTTCTCCCACTCAATTGACTAAACGCAGTAGCTGTTTTGACTGTTGTGTAGGCATACGTGAAGAGTAAGCAAAACGTCTCCAAATTTTTGTTTTCATTGTCACTGCAGTTGCTTTTCCCTGTTAGTAAATTCTAGAAAGTAGACTCGGCCAACACACTCGGTGTTAAAGCATCAGTTTCCTATGCAGGGCTCTCTGGGCAATTTATCCACTGAAGTAACAGTCTCAGTAGTTCTTAGCGTTCAGCAAGCTTGCCCTAAGTTTCCCAAGTCGAACTCCTCATCTGCATCTTCCTTTCCCTCTCTGCAGTAAACTATACCCGACCAGTGATTATTCTGGGCCCCATGAAGGATCGGATCAATGATGACTTGATATCTGAATTTCCTGACAAATTTGGCTCCTGTGTGCCTCGTAAGTATCATTTATCTTTCCTCTAGAAATAAAGTGTGGCTCTTTTTGAGATGGTAAAATGTAACTCCGTTTTTCCAGTAGTCTCCAGTGATTCAAATACCATCAGTCACCTATTATCTGAGCATCTCATTTCATTTCTCTGCCAAATACATTCCATCTATGCTGCCATGTCTTATTCTCTGTTTAGTGAGTAAATGATGTGGTACCCGAGAGGGCAGGATGAGTTTTCTTTGTAACTCCCGTGGTATTTGAGATAGCATAGGATTATTGATAGGCCTCCGTATTTTCTTGTAGATTGATGAAATGTCACTGAAACCACTTTTCCCATAGAATCATGCTACAAAGCAAGTTTGTTTGTCCAATGCACAGCAAGCCAAATGCTGAGATGCAAGGTTTACAACAGAGAAAGGGTTTGTTTATTCACAAGACTGCCAATTAAAGAGGTTAGAGAAGAAATCTCAGATTCACCTCCCAGAAGCGAGGGGCTGGGGATATTTATGGGATGATGGAGCAGGGTGGTCTGAGGTGTGGGGAGTGTGGGGAAGGGTGATTGAAAATACGAAGGTAAGGTTTTTTTCATTCTGTGCAGGTGCAGGTAAGCTGCAGGCTTCATCATGGGAAGCAGATTCAGAAAACGTCAGCATTAGCATGTTCTGAGGGTGGATTTGGGGCCGTCTGATGTCCAAAGGTCACCAGGTAGACACTGGCACTTGTCCAGTTGGAGGGTCGGTGGTCTTAATCACTTTTAACCACCTCAAGCTCAAACTGGACACAGCTGACTCTGAGTTCCTAAAAATAACTCAGGAAAACACATTGCTGAGTCTATGTGATGCTTGAAAGATATGCAAAAAAAAATTTTTTTTTTTGGTAGCAACAAAGTGATCAGTGAAGGCAGGTTACAGGCTTAATGGATCTCACTAATGATCACTCTTAGTTACAATAAGAGAGATCTGAGACAATGCCATCTGTTAAACTCATTTCAGGATGACTTAGGGCTGTGTGTCAATCAAAACAAAATACCCTTTCTTTTCCCAAGAGTTTTCACAGCCTCAGGTGTTGGAAGGAAGAAGACAAGAAAGAATATAAAGTTTTTACCCACCTCCTGGCCACTGCAGACTTGAATCTGCTTTCTTGTCCTTATGGACAGCCATCAGGCCCCCCGGTCCCTCTGAAACACTCTCCAGAGGGAGCCAGCCCTGCAGAGTCTATCTGCTCTCCTTCCTGCTGCTCCCCGCTCATCACTTCTGTCCCTGCTCCAGCTGTGTCACATGAAAATGCTAGAGGCTTTCTGTGTATGTAAACCCACCAGGAAATTTTAATTTATTAGACCACTGAGCTCTTAAATCTGATCTCAGCAGATATTCCTTTCTCACTCGACATTTTTTAAGCTCTTTGCTCCGAAGTGTCTCTTACATTTCAGGACTGCAAATGTCTGCTGGAATACAGAACAGCAGGGATCGCACATGTGCAGTGCTCGGGCAGAGGGGAACCAGGACGAGTGTGCTGTCTTGTGAAACGGTCCCTGGCAAGGGTTCTGGGTAGCGGTCTTGCCACAGAACCTAACCTGAGAAAGACTCCAGACAGAAACCCTAGTCCATTTGCAGCCCCCAGCTTGTTCCGCCACTTTTGAAAGGAAAAAAAAAAAGAAATTCCTTTAGCACCATTTCACTACCTCTCCACCTTGCATCATCTTCTTTCTCTTTTTTAATTAATGGCACTGTTTTATGAAAATCAATATATGTTCATTGTACAAAACTTGGAAAATGCTAAAAAGTTAAACAAGAAAATTAAAAATATACAGAAAATCTCAAAAGATACCCAGAGATAACATCCCTGCTAATATTTTCATAGATTTCTACCTATTCTTTCTTTTCATGCATTTTCTCCTATGATTGGGTATATACCAAGTATATACTTTTCTTGCTTAATATTGTTTAAATTTTATATAACTATTTTAAATGTATATTATGTGATAATTAGTCCTTTCTCATTTAGGGTATTTTTGGATTTCTCTACTTCTAAATATTATGAGTTGTAACTCAAATACAATTATAATTTATATGTTATAATTATTTATAATTTATAAATTAGTACAATGAACATCTTTAAGGATAAAACTTTATCTGAAATGTTGATCATTTTTAAAGATGGACTTCTAGGAAGTCTGGGTTAAAGATAGAAAATATAGTTTGCTAATGATAAGTCAGTATATCCAGAACAATATTTCACTTATAATCAATATAAAAATTATTGAGATGTCTTATAATTCTTGGTGGTCAGTCTTGGAAATCCAGTGTGTGTTTTACACACATGGACCAGCCCCCTCTTAAATGCTCTTGAATGTGGCTGCAGATGGCCGCAGTAAGCGGCACAGGTGTAGAAGGTCTTACTCCCTCCTGTGTGCTTTTCTGTTAAATACAGTTTTTAAGGGTTACTTTCCATTTACAGTTATTACAAAATTATTGTCTGTATTCCCGGTGTTGTACAATACATCCTGGAGCCTGTCTTACACCCAGTGGTTTGTATCTCCCGCTCCCAACCTCTATATTGCCGCTCCCCTCCGTCACCACTAGCTTGCCCTCTGTATCTGTGAATCTGCTGCTTCTTTGTTTTATTCACCAGTTTGTTGTATTTTTTAGGTTCCACATATGAGTGATACCATATTTTATTTTATTTAACATTTTTTTGATTTATAATGTTACATTATTATTTTCTCTTCTCTTCTTACCAAGAAGTTTAACCAATTCTAACTATGATTAGAGTTGATTTATTTTAGTTCCTTCTTAACTGTGGTGATATCATTTTACATCTTTTAAAGTCCCTGAATATATTTACACTATATGTCCATTTTTTAATTTTATATGAGATTTTTTTTTTACTTCTTTGCTTGTCCCATAATCGTTTATCATGTGCTAGACATTGTGAGGCTACATTATTGAGCATTTGGATTTTGTTATCAATCTTCCTTTATAGAGTATTAAGTTTTTGTTTCAGCAGGCAATAATTTACTGACAAGTCAGCTTCTTTGAGCTTTTACTTGGTTTTAGACATTGTGAAGGTGGGTCTAGAGTAAGTCAAGAGTAACCTCATAAAATGCAACCATTCTGGGGTCTCAACCTAATGCACAGCCCGTCTGAACTTCAGGGTCTCCTAGAACTCCATGATCTCTAGACTCTCCAATTGGAAATGAAAATGGAGTAAATACAGAGTCCCTTCATGTGTTTCTCCCAAGTATTACAGCCCAGCACTGCCTATTGTCCAATGTGTGAAAATGTATTTCCATACATTTTGTCTAGTTTTATAGTTCTTCACAGTGGAGGGCTAAGCCTGGTACCTGCTACTATGTCATGGTCCTTAATAGTACACACTTTTTTATCTATGTTGAGGGTGTGTGGTAAAAAAAAAAAGTATAACAGAAGTTTATGAATATAAAGTTACCTTATTTTCATCTTTTTTCATCTTTAAAAAGATACTACGAGGCCAAAGCGTGACTATGAGGTGGATGGCAGAGACTATCACTTTGTCATTTCCAGAGAACAAATGGAGAAAGACATCCAAGAGCACAAGTTTATAGAAGCCGGCCAGTACAATGACAACTTATATGGAACCAGCGTGCAGTCTGTGAGATTTGTAGCAGAAAGGGTATGTTCTCCAATCATCTTGCATCTCCCCTGAAGAAGGTACCCAGGTGGCAAACTGCATTTTTTTTTCTGGTCATTACTCTTCCCTGATTTCAGTTGTAAATTTTGATTCAGTATTCCTTTTAAGACCTCTGAGCAGAGAATCTCTTTAGAGCAAGGTCGTTAATCTTTGTTCTAATCTCAATAAAGTATGCTGACTGACCTGGCAGCGGAGAGGAGGAAAGGGGGCTTATAAACCTAAAGGCAATTAACAGCTTGAAGTTATGGAAATTCACTTTGTCCTTGACTCACTCTTCTTTGGCCCCAGTAACTGAATTTGTTCTAGAAACTTGGTCACTTTCGGTTGCTTAGATCAGAATCCTCAGTTCTTTTTGTTAGTAGGAGTTTACTTTTTATCTCCCTGAAAACTTGAGATCCTTTTGGTGGAAGGGTAGACAGATGAGGAGGACTGCCCAGCCTGTTGTTGGCAGATATTCTAACTTAGAGGAGGTATAGATGAAATTGTGTGTGAAAGGCGCTCAGTCGTGACCAACTCTTTGCAATCCCATGGACTGTAGCCTGCCAGGCCCCTCTGCCCATGGAATTCTCCAGGCAAGAATACTGGAGTGGGTTACCAATTCCGTCTCCAGTGGATCTTCCCTACCCAGGGATCAAACCCAAATCTCGCATTGCAGGCAGATGAAATTATCCTGCTGATAATTTCAAGGGCATGGACATGAGAAGACTGTATAAGGGCAAATAGAATAGGAAGACACTTGAGATCTGCCGCAAGAAAGATCCTAATCACCTGTGAATACCAAGGACCAATTTCACAGAAGAAGAAAAAAAAAGTTATGAGCCCATTGTGTATTTGTTATATAAGTAATATTTTTTGGGTTGACTTGATTTGACACAACTTCCCCCCACTCCCGCTTTTAATGTTTCAGTTAAAAAATTTAAATGAGAAATGTTCACGTCTCTCTGAGAATAAAGTAAGAAGGTGGGTCGAGTTTCTTCTCTCCGGGATGCCAGCTTCTTTGAGCAATATCACACTGTTTCAAATCACTTTTCTGGATAATTGCATCTGTTCTCCTCCTTGAACATGTAGACACAGCCTTTGTTATCTCAAGCCGTTCTGACCAGTGAATACTCAGACTTCATTCAGACATTCTATTTAACTGCCACATTTCACAGATAGCAAACTTGGAATATAATAAGTAATAAAAACTTGAGTCATCTTAGTCTGTTTCTCCTGTAAAAGCTCAAGTACTTGCTGGCCTCTCTTTATTTTTATGTGGCTATTATGGATGAGCTTGTACTCCCCTTTATTGATTTAGGACTGTTTCTATCTGCATAGTATGCTTTTCTCTTCTTTGTAAAGTTCTTTGGGCCTCAGGGTAATGAAGCCATTTCCCTCCAGGAGGTAGAGCATAATGTGTGGCAAATGTGTCTAGTCTCCAGAAATACTTTATAAAGCGGTTCCTTGCTCTGAGCACTCACTGCAGTGGAAGCCAAGTTAAATGAGGTATGCTATAATGTAATAGGGTCTTTATTTGTTAACAAACAAAAAATTTACATACACTATGCAAACCTCTCTCCCCACAGTTAAAGATTAAATACTTAAGGTCACTCTCTGTGTCTGTCCTTGCTCTATACTAGACTGAGCGTATTAAAGGCAGGATACATAGAAACACTCAGCAAATATTTATAAAATTGTTCTAAACTCGTGGTTACCATTCCTCCAGATTTAACACTGACCAGGGTGAGACAAGGAGGTATTGATTTATTCCAACCAACAAGACTTCGGTTTGCGTATTAGCACTGAGTCTTGGGCGAGTGACTGCTATATGTACGGCTGATGCAAGTGCTAGGCAAGTTAGTATTTTTAAGCCTTGGCCTTCTCTTCTGTAAAATGCAGTTTACAGTTCATATCTCATAGGTAGGGAATTTCTTCTTTGACAAGTTGGGAATTTCTTTTTGACAACTGTCTCCAGAGATGGTTTATGAGGGTTTCATGAGAATGGATTCAATCACGTTATACATGGCTTGATGACTTCCTTGTGCAAAGCATCAGGTATTTATTTAAGGAAATAAAGTTAGCTGAGATAACACTAGTGAAATGTATGCTCCACTGGCTGACACTTAGTAAAGGAGTAAGAAATATATTACTGCAAACATTCCGTGATGACCTGAATACCAACTTTTTTTTTTTTTTTTTTTTTTACCTTGGAGGTCTCAGATTGAAAACTTGAGATCATGCACCATCACACCCATGGCTGCCGCTCATCAAGCTCCAGCGTGGCTGAATACCAACTTTTATTTATGCTTTGCAACAATTCTTTTCAAAATTTGAAATCTAGTATCTTTTACCTCCCTCTAAAACATACTTACTTTTTTTTTCTTGTGCTGTGAGTATGATCATTCTACCTGGATTAACGCAGTATTTTTCTTTTCCTTCTCCCAGGGCAAACACTGTATACTTGACGTATCAGGAAATGCTATCAAGCGGTTACAAGTGGCCCAGCTGTATCCCATTGCCATCTTCATTAAACCCAAGTCTCTGGAACCTCTGATGTAAGTGGCTGGCAGGGGCGGCCTTCATCCAGCCTCTTGTTCCATACAACAGAGCAAACAGCTCTTTGCCATAAATGCTCACAAGTGGAAATTGCCGTTGTTGATTTCTTTAAGCATTCTGTTTTTTAATGATAGACGAAAATTCTTTTTAACCACTAGAGACACAATGTCAGTAATTCCTGAAAATGTCTTCACTAATGTTTCTTGATTTTTATTTTCATTTCACAAGTTGTTTTTGTTTGTGTGTGACTTCTTCATTTTGTCTCCTTGTTTTGAAAGTAGGTTGGTTTGTTTTTATTTTGCCTTGCTTTGCTTTCCAAATGATAGGAAACAGTCATCTTTAAATTGTCTCTTACTTCTGAGAGCAATTCCCCCAGTAAATCTTTTTAAATGTGTGAGTTTTCATAGTGGGAGCAGACAACATTTCAAACTCTCTCCATCAGCCTTTCACATTGTTATGCCATAGAATTCTTGTGTTCCTTAATTAAAACCTCATGTACGTGGACCACTAGTGTTACAAGGAGTTTTATTAATGGCCTAGCTGTAAAACACCTACAGTCTTAACCAATAGCTCCAGACCTTTGCACATTTATGAACAGGGAGAAAAATACATGACCCAGGCTTTTTTATTCTTTTTATTTATTTTAATAATCTTATTTTATTTTTCTCTATGACGGGTCTTTGTGGCTGTGCAGACTTTTCACTAGTTGTGCGAGCGGGGGCCACTCTCTAGCTGCAGTGCGCGGGCTTCTCACTGCAGTGGCTTCGCTTGTTGCAGAGCGTGGTTCTAGGCCGAGCGGGCTTCAGTCGTTGCAGTTCCCAGGCTCTGGAGCACAGGGTCAGTGGTCATGGCTCACGGGCTTAGTTGCTCCACCTGTGGGATCTTTCTGGGCCAGGGATGGAACCCCTGTCTCCTGTATTGGCAGGCGGATTCTTTACCAGTGAGCCACCAGGGAAGCCCTATTCCTTTTATTTTTCAGAGGACTTGTTAAATATCATTCTTCAAAAACTGGGCAGATATTCCCAGGTTGGGTGCATGAGACAAGTGCTCGGGCCTGGTGCACTGGGAAGACCCAGAGGGATCGGGTGGAGAGGGAGGTAGGAGGGGGGACCGGGATGGGGAATACATGTAAATCCATGGCTAATTCATTTCAGTGTATGACAAAAACCACTGCAATGATGTAAAGTAATTAGCCTCCAACTAATAAAAATAAATGGAAAAAAAAAACAAAAACAAAAACTGGGCAGATATTCATGATCTGGCTATAAAGGGACACTATTTGGGGGGGCACTTTGATAGGAATTGGGGGCTTTGTTTTGTACACCCTCTTATACAAAAGTGATGCTTTAGTAGCCTTAAAGGTATAAGAGAAAAAAGGCTAAGAGTGTGGTCCTGGAAACTGGTCAGGCTTGGTTCTGTTCCTTTGCCACTGTTCAGTTATGTGAGCTCCGGCAATTTGCTTGACCTCTGTAAGACTTAGTTCCTCAGCTCTAAACTAGGCACATTAATAATGCAGACCTCAGAGAGCCAGTGTAAAGAATAAACAAGATCTTAAGTGTAAAGTTCTCTATACCATTTTTGGCATATAGTAACTACTTACTAGGGGCTTTCCAGATGGCACTAGGGGTAAAGAACCCGCCTGCCAATGCAGGAGACATAAGAGATGCAAATTCAATCCTTGGGTCAGGAAGATCCCTGGAGGAAGGCATGGCAACCCACTCCAGTATTCTTGCTTGGAGAATCCCATGGACAGAGGAACCTGGCGGGCTAACATCCATGGGGTCATAAAGAGTCAGACACTACTGAAGTGACTTAGCACAGCACACAGCACAACCACCTACTAACTGGTAGCTATTATTACTATGAACGATTCCAAGTAACTTTATTGTAAAAAGAATGAAACTGCTTTATCATTACAAAACAGGTGGACAGTGCCTTTCCCAAGAGGCTGCAAGAGATAACACCAGTGTCATTGTAAGAGCTTTGCCCAAATATGCCTCCGTTTGGGCCTCAAGGCATTAGAGCATTTGACAGGGTTCACAAGTGAACCATAAAGTACTGGAAAACAGTGTTTATGGAAACCAAAGAAAATGAAATCATTCATCCCAGAGGTGAAAGCAGTTACTTGTAAAGGATATTGACCTGTTGTTTAGCACCTTCTCTGGGAGGAAGAAGCTATAGTAGCTGGAACTGAAGTCTAAGAGGATTAAGTTAAACATGTAGTCAATCTTTGGGGCAATTGCCAGATGTGTATCTTAAAAGCAGAATAGATTCCCATAAATAAGAGATGGACAAAAGTTCTTACCAGGATGAAAAAATAAAGTGAGAAGGTCACTCTTAGTACCTTCTGCCCCATGAATTTCGGCATAAAATTATATCATAAAGAGCTTTGGGAACTTCCCTGGTGGTCCAGTGTCTAAGCCTCTGTGCTTCCAATGCAGGGGGCCTTGGTTCTATCCCTGGTCTGGGAACTAGATCCTACATGCCACAATTAAGAATTTGCATGGTACAACTAAGACTCTGTGCAGCCAAGTATTTTTTTAAAAGAAAAATAAATAAGGGCTTTGCCCATAGTCAGCTCATGGAAAAATATGTATTAATGATAAAATAATGGTTGTTGGCTTCCCAGGTGGTGCTAGTGGTTAAGGACCCTCCTGCCAATGCAGGAGATATAAGAGACATGGGTTCAATTCCTGAGTCAGGAAGATCCCCTGGAGGAGGACATGGCAACCCACTCCAGTATTCTTGCCTGGAGAATCCTCATGGACAGAGGAGCCTGGTGGGCTACAGTGCATGGGGTAATTTGCATGGTACAACTAAGACTCTGTGCAGCCAAGTATTTTTTTAAAAGAAAAATAAATAAGGGCTTTGCCCATAGTCAGCGCATGGAAAAATATGTATTAATGATAAAATAATGGTTGTTGGCTTCCCAGGTGGTGCTAGTGGTTAAGGACCCTCCTGCCAATACAGGAGATATAAGAGACATGGGTTCAATTCCTAAGTCAGGAAGATCCCCTGGAGGAGGGCATGGCAACCCGCTCCAGTATTCTTGCCTGGAGAATCCTCATGGACAGAGGAGCCTGGTGGGCTACAGTGCATGGGGTTGCAAAGAGTGAACACTCGACTGAACCGACTTAGCACTCAGTAGTATCCCTGAGAGCGTGTATAAGTTCCTCCTCATGTAAGCTGCTGTGTTGAGCATTGAGCAAAGTGCTTTAAGCAGCCACACATTTCCCTACATAAAAGTGATTTATAATCTGAGAAGAGCCTCATAAATATTATTAGTACTGCTAACATTAATAAGAAGAAGAGAAACATGTCCCCCACCTCCTGGGAACAGCATCTTAAAGGCCCATTTCAGAAAGAGCAGAGTAAGTTTTCCCATCACAAACAAGCAGTGGGCAAGTGGCTTCCCGGGGAAGGGAGGCCTGAGGGAGAAGAGCAGCTGCATGTTCGGTTCAACGTGACACTCGGAACGTTCCCATCTGGTGCTCAGTGGGAGAAGGCCTGCTTCCTCCACAACTACAAGACGACTTATTTAATTTTGCCTTAGGGCCCTGTCTTGGTCACTTATCACCAAGGAAAAGTAAACATGCTGAAGGCTGGACCCCACGATGAGACAGTGAATCTGGCATCATTTGCTGCAGCCGTTTGCATAGTGCAACACCAGTGGCATTCAGACCAATGGGATCGTATTAGGAAACACTGGATGTTTACTTTCCAGTTCAGTCTTTCTGAGGGTTTTACTTCAGGAGCAAAGCTGGCATGCACTGCCCCTTCCCCAGGGAGGGGTGAGTGCCAGGTCAGCTGGAACCGCAGCATGGCAGCTGTCACATTTGGGCACCAATACATCATCACACACATTGTCCTCAAGTGCATCACCCACATCAAACCACAGGACTTATTAGCACACACATAGCTGACTCTCCAGAGAAGCAGAAAATCAAGGGTGTATATGAAAGAGGTGTTTTTTCACGTTGTACCGCCATGTGACTTCTATCCCCCACCCCCTCCCCATGGCAATGAGTGGCTTTCCTATGTGTCTCCACCACGCCACCCAATATGCTTTTACCGTCTTTCTCCCTGTGTTTACTTCTGTCTTCAACTGTACTGTAATTATGTTTGTCTGTCCATTCATTCATTCACTTATTCATTCAACAAGTTTAAGCATTGACTGAGATCCTTGTCATCACATGCTGGTGAATAAGCCGCGGTCTCTGGCCTCAAAGAACCGGCAGACTGGTCAGGGAGATAAAACAACTTCATGTATTAGAGGATAAAAACCTAAATTCAAGGGACTTCCCTGCTGATCCAGTGGTTGGGCGTCTAGGCAGGCTTCCACTGCAGGTGTTGGCAGGTTCAATTCCTGGAAGGGGAACTGACACACAGTGAGGCCAAAAAAAATCAGTATTGCTACAATAAATGCAAAGGGAATTCAGAGAAAATAGGCCAGCGTGGCCAGGGAAATCAAAGAAGATCCAGAACTACATGATTTCTTGACTCCTGGAGCAAAACACTATCTTTCTATGAGAAGTATCCTTTGGTTTAGCTCAGCATTTTCTGCCACCCAAGAATGACTGCCTCTCAAAGCTTCTAGGGTTAGTGCTGTTTGGGAAGAGAATTATAGATACCATTCCTCAGGCAAGATGAGTTTATTTCAACAAGACTTCAGGGAATTCCCACTTCTATATATTGTAGCCATCAACATCAAGCCTATAGTCATGCTAATGTCTGACTTCAGTTCAGTTTTGTGTGTTTCTAAATAGGGGTCTCTTTAGAAAGAACATCTTAGTGTAATGAAAAGTCTGTTTCACTAAAAATTAATTAGTGAAAAACAATAACTTTTGAGTTCTTTCATGAAAATGTTAACACCTAGAAGACATGGAAGGATAAAGCTGCCCCAGGTTGGGAATCCATAGATTAGGTTACTCTCCATTTTCCTCCCTCCTCAATTTGTCCTTGAAACTTTGTTGGATCTAAGTAATCTTACAATGATTAAGCAGCACATACCTACAGTTAATGATACACCAATGGTTGACAGACTAACAGAAAGAAGGACAGAGAGCGCCCAGTGTAATTACAGCCCATTTTCCTATCCACCGAAGAATTGATGTTTTCAAACTGTGATGGTGGAGAAGACTCGAGAGTGTCTTGGGACTGCAAGGAGATCAAACCAGTCCATCCTAAAGGATATCACTCCTGAATATTCATTGGAAAGACTGATGCTGAAGCTGAAGCTCCAATACTTTGGCCACCTGATGAGAAGAGCCGACTCGTTGGAAAAGGCCCTGATGCTGGGAAAGATTGAAGGCAGGAGGAGAAGGGGACGACAGAGGATGAGATGGTTGGATGGCATCACGGGCTCAATGGACATGGGTTTGAGTAAACTCTGGGAGTTGGTGATGGACAGGGAGGCCTGGCGTGCTGCAGTCGATGGGGTCACAAAGAGTTGGGTACAACTTAGCAACTAAACAGCAATTCCTATCCGAACAAAAATAAAACAAAATAGGCGTTAGAGATTCCTTCTTGCCAGGCTCCTCTCTCCAGTTCACTATTTGATATGACTTGCTTAGAGTCTGTTTGAAATATTTTGGTCCCAGAGTTTTTGATTGTTCCATTCTCTGCATCTTTAATTCAAGCCATCTTTAGCAGTTCCTTGAAATTCCATTAGATAATAAAAAACAGAGGAAGTCCAGGGCTCTTTGGCTATAGATGTGCCTTACTGCTTTGCAGTTGAGCCTCTAGAGCTACAGAATCCTTTTTCAGCCTGAGAGACACACATGCCTGAATCGCCTGTCTCGTGTTCTAATTCGTTGGAAGACTGTCTCTGTTTCTCCACTCCACGTGTCTGCTGCCCACACTGAAGATGAACAGCAGCCCTTGGGGAGGGTGGGAAGGTCGAGAGATCAAAGCTTTCTATGAGGTCAGGACCTGAGAACAGTCGAGTCTTATTCTCTTAGATGGAATGAGCTCCAGAAAGCTGGGAAGTATCTTCCCTTCTCTCCACTTGCTCTCCTCCCCTCCCTCTGGCCACCCCACAAGATTGCGTTCAATTCTACATCATGGACTCAATGGACATGAGTTTGAGCAAACTCTGGGAGACGATGAAGGACAGGGACGCCTGGCATGCTGCAGTCCACAGGGTCGCGAAGAGCTGGACACAACTGAGCGACAGAACAACAGCAACAACAACAACGTCCCGTATTTAAAAGAGGTTGAGACCGACGAGAACAAAATCTAAGGGCGGGTGACCAGGAAGGTTATACATTTCCAAATTACATCCGATGAAAGAATAGATGAAGGAAGCAGGGCAGTTTTTTCTGGAAGAATGGAAGCCCTGAGGGACACATCAGCACTTAAACACCCGAAGGCCTGTCCCGGAAGAAGGAGGTTTGGTTCTGCTCTGCAGAGCAGCTCTAACGTGGGGCCAAGAGACGACCCTCTGGGGGCGTGAGTGCCCTGGGCCGGGGCAGCGACGGGGGAGGACGGGGGCAGCGACAGGGGAGGACAGGGGCAGCAACAGGGAGTTCCTTGTTGTGGCTGAAAACATCCCAACAAAGAGGAGTCCTGTCAAGGCCTAGGAAGCTGCTGCTAAGATTGCACTCGGCCACATACACTGTAGTTTTTCAGGATTTGGTGTGTTCCCTTTGTGTTCTAACACCAAACTCTCCTTTTCCCAGGGAGATGAATAAGCGTCTAACAGAGGAACAAGCCAAGAAAACCTATGATCGTGCAATTAAGCTAGAACAAGAATTTGGAGAATATTTTACAGGTATGTTCATTTGCATTTGTACTATGAGAAAGAGGATGAATTGTCTGACATATGGCACAGAGGGGGCTCTGGGCCTGCTATACCTGGGCCCTAGCCCCTTCCTGCTGAAAATCCCTGATTTGCCACTACTTCCATTTGATTCAAAATTCTGGGTTCCTTCTTCTCTGGATTCAGCTTCCTGGTTCCCACTGGCCTTACCCAAAACCATGAATGGCAGACTGAGCTACCTCCTGGGAGAGAGATTTTAAGTATTAGTATCTCATTCAGAGATGACTCATTGGAAAAGACCTAAATGCTGAGAAATATTGAAGGCAAAAGGAGCAGGGGACGGCAGAGGAGGAGATAGTTAGATAGCATCACCAACTCAGTGGACATGAATTTTAGCAAACTCCAGGAGATAGTGAGGAACAGGGAAGCCTGGTGTGCTGCAGTCCGTGGGGTCACAAAGAGTCGGACACGACTGGGCAGCTGAGCAACAACAAAATCTCGTTCAACTTCTCTCCCTGAGATGATCAGAAATTTGAAAACGAAACTTTTACGGCTCCGGATGTGCACTGTCCAAGCAGTTACTCTTGAAAAGTAGTCCCAGGGTCTCTATTCTCTGCTTCATGGACCTCTGTGTCTGTCTCCCCATTAGGCACCAGGAGAAGATGCTTGAAACACTTCCTGTGTTTCAGTTGATTCCATGTCATATCTTACTGCAAAAAAAAATGTTTTTTCTTTTTAAATTTTTCCTTGGAAACATAAATTAGGGGGGATATTTTGTCCTGGTTATCATAGGTTCTCTATTCTTATATGCTTTCATGAAACACTGATCAGATCCAAAAAGTGATCAAACTTTGGAATTTGCCTTACAACTGATAGGTCTTCCCTGTAGCTCAAATCGTAAAGAATCTTCCTGCAGTGCAGGAGACCCAGGTTTGATCCCTGGGTTGGGAAGATCCTCTGAAGAAGGGAATGGCAATCCACTCCAGTATTCTTGCCAAGAGAATCCCATGGACAGAGGAGCCTGGTTGACTACTTAGCAATTGAACTAAGTTCAGTTCAGAACCGAGTCCCTGGGATCACAAAGAGTTGGACACGACTCAGCGACTAATGCTACATACAGTTACAACTAATGGTTTAAAACAAGAACTTTCCTCCTGAGTTACCTTACATGAAGTTAGGTGTTTTCTTTTTTATCTCAATCAAAATATGAGAAAGCTGGTGGCTTAGCAGTTTGCAAATATGTTGAATTAGGTAAATCTTAAGTAAAATTTCCATCAGTAACAAAGATATGAGTTATGTTTCCGCCTAAAAGAACATCTAGTATGTTCAAAACAATATACATGTTGAACAGTGCTTTATACTCAGGAATAAAATACAATAATCAGCACATTCCAAGGATTGTTTTTGAAAATCTAAACCATGTTTCAGTAACAACTTCTTTTTAAGCCCCAGTGTCATATGGTTAGTACTGATTTGTTAGGGATATCTATCTACAAGATAGTTTTTGTCCAAAGGAGATAATAAAATGTATTTAAATCTACTGTAAGTGGATTGGTGTTTGGGGTAATACACTGTTTGTTTCCTTCTATTTTATATATTTTTTGCAAGTAATTGCCATAAGATATCCTCACTATGAAGAGCCCTGAATGGTAAAATCTCAATTTATTAGATTAGTTGGAGAATGAATAAAGTTTCTTATTAAAGGTTTTGGGGATTGAGGAGATTAAAGTTTTTTCTAAAATCCTTATTATTTCCTCTATGTCTAGAATATTCTAATTTCTGCCCATTATAAAATAAGTAATATAAAACCAGCTTATAAGAGAATATAAGCTGGAGAATATAAGTCCAGCTTTCTTTGGTAACAGGGAGCTCTCAGTCTGAAAATTGACCAATGCCTAGCTCAGTGCCTGGCCCAGAGTCAACACCCATAAAATTTAAATAAATGAGTGAGTCATCATGCAGAACTACAGACAGACATGTAGAAAGAAGGAAGACTGATACATTTATTACTAATCTAGGACATGCCTTAAAAGCATTTTTTAAATCATTGATGTGACCTTTCTTAAGTGAATCTCTGCTTTTTCTTATTATTGAGAAGTAATATGAAGCCTCCTGATGAGTTTGTCACTGTTTGAGCTTCTTCTACATGACTGATGGTCATTCTTCACCAGCCAGGAAATGCTTCCTGATTCCCGTGTGTTTGCTTTTGTTCCAGCTATTGTCCAAGGCGACACCCTAGAAGATATCTATAACCAATGCAAGCTTGTTATTGAAGAGCAGTCTGGGCCTTTCATCTGGATCCCCTCAAAGGAGAAGTTATAAATTAGCTACTGCACCTCCAACAATGACAGAAGAGCATTTAGAAGAACAAATATATATAATATACTACTTGGAGGCTTTTATGTTTTTGTTGCATTTATGTTTTTGCAGTCAATGTGAATTCTTATGAATGTACAACACAAACTGTGTGAAGCCATGAAGGAAAAGGAGGGGCCGAAGTGTGGGACAGAAAAGACACTGCAATATGCGGGGAAGGCTTTGGTTTGCTCAGAGTGCCAGGTGTAGGGACGAACCTCTGACGGGCTTCGTGCCCAAGAGATGGGCAGCCTCCTCACCCAGCAGATGTCCAGAGCTGACTTAGCTGCCGAGCTCCCTGTGTTTTTCGCTTTAAAGAAAAGTTGCCAGCACTTTAACTTCACCAACCTTCCCGTTACCCACATCTATAATTGGTACAGTTCAAATTTTAGAACTATGCACATCCTTTGATTTCTTTACAAGCAAAAGAAAGAATGGGGGAGGGGAAGGAAAGGAGTCCCTTTGAAGACGGCATAACATTACTATCAGGGAAGGATGAGTGTGTAGTTTCTTTGCCTGGCATCTACAAAGATGAGCATTTCATAAAGTTCACACGTGTGTGGAGGACTGACCTCACTGGGAGGAGGGGATTCCACCTGGGGTTAGCTTTATGATTGTTTATTGTCTATTTTGCCATTTATAAACTGAAAGAAGGCACTAAAGATGAGAATAATTTATACAATAAAAATATATTAAATGTATAGAAGCGAATTTCTATAGGTTAAAAAAAGTTTTGTGAAATATTTTGTAAAGATTAATTGAAAGACTAAATGTATGCACTATCTGCAGATGATCCAACTCAAGAACAGAAAGTTGCACTCTCCCTTTCGTTGCCAATGATCCACTAAGAGCATCTGAGTTCCTTCTGAAGCCTGACAAAGACTTCTCCCTCATTACCTCCCGCGATCCCCCTCCCACCTCAGAGATACACTCTCATGGAGCACATCCCTTAATGAGTTGCCCTCGTGGATATTTTTGGAGGACATTTGCTTAATGCAATTTTTTCAAGCTGATGGCTTTCAGAGACAAATTCATACAAATGATGTAAAGGAAAGTTTTTGCTTTTTTTCTTGTTAAATACCCTGGGCCTGCCATGCAAATAGCTGAACAATGTTGTTCCTAGTAACTTACATACAATTCTTAAAGGATCATTTAGTATTTTGGCTGTCATGAATAATTAGGACTCTTTTGTCTGTTTTATAAGTAAACTGAGGGTTTTTGTAAGGGCCAGAGAAGGTGCAGAGCCATGGAGAGATCTGTCCTAAGATGCAATATTTCTTTGAGGAGGAGAGAGAGAAGGGGAGGATCTGACAGGAGCGGGTGAGGGGTGCAGACTTCTGTTTCTGTGTACAGGACAAAGAGATAGAACCACCAGGAAAGACCATTAATGACTTCGAGCTCAACCAATTGAACTGCCTTTCTTGGGGGCTGCACCTGGACCAAGTTTATTTTTTAGCAATTATAACTATGATGATTTAAAAAAAAAAAAGAAAGAAACTTCCCGAAGCCTATCTCCCACTTTAGAGCTGATGCTGACATCAGCATTGCTTGCACCCCAGGTGTTTAGAGAGAGAGACTTTTCAGTGATCTCTATAACTACTCAACTCTGGGTCGTATGCGTGCCCAGCCTAAGCCCCGTCGCCTTATTTCTGGGGTACATCCAGACCTGGCAGGAATCTGCCACACTGTGCAGTGAACCAGCACGCCGGCTGGGATGGGAGAGTGAGGCAGAGCCATCAGCAGTGATGGGGCTTCTTCACAGGAAGCGCATCAGAGCTCAGAATGAGGGTCTCTTTCCAAAAACAAGCATTTTTCATCTGACACTAAAACACCACAGTCTGCCTGGCTGCAGTCACCAAAACAGACACAAGAGATGCAAAATCATGCACCTACCTATAGTCTTGAGGCTGCCTTTACCAATGGAAGGGCTAGCAATCCATTTTCCCTCTGATGAAAGTTAAATTTCCCAAGACTTCCTTAGGGTGTTCAAAATGTCAAAAATGTAGCCATGTCTGCAATTCGCCAGTTTCAGGTCAAGGCCTACTTTCATCCATCTTTGCTCCCAGAAGTGTCCGCCACCAGAATGCCATTCCTGATCCCAGCTCTACTTTTAGGCCACCATGATAACTTCTTTGGTTTCTCAACTGAGCATGCAACCATTTATTTAAAGGACTGTCATTAATGAATAGATGTTTCCGCGGGTCGTGTGACGTGCTTTTCCATTTAATATTAAGTATTGCTGTGGCTGAGTACAATCAAATTGAACCACCAACCCTTGGTTTTGTAGTAATACAATTATTTTCCTAGTGTAGATGCTTCCAGATAAGAATTGGCATTTGCACTGATTTTTTTATGTAGATTTATATAAATATATATAGACATATATATTTGCTTGAAGAATCACCAAGCCAATTGGTGAGAGGGTCTTTTCCTATAGAATTTACACCTCCATTTGTTGTGTTGTCTTGCGCTTCCCAATGTTGAGGTCTCCACGGCTCCAACACACGGGTGTATTTTGCCGCAGACCCGATGACTTAAGATGGAAATGGCGCGAAAGCTACCCAGATTACAACTGGTGCAAATGCACGTGGAGCCTGGGGCCAGACTGGTGCTAACACCGCAAACTTTGTCGAGAGCTCTCTCCAATCTGAAAGCTTGCTGGGGGCGCAATGTCACCTTCACACGCTGGGCCCTTTCGGAAAAGTGCCAGATCGTGTCACTGGTGCTATTTTTCATGCTCTGGTACAATGTGTAGCACCACGGGGGTCTCAGCTTTACCAAAATTGAAAATCCCACTCGTCAGCTAATCGCAGGGGCATTTGTTTCCGGCTCTCCTCGCGCGGGATCTGTGGGCCATTTCTTTGCAGGCCTTTCCTCCCAGCCCTCCGCTCTTGGGTTGGCTCTGTTGGGTGCGCCCATCTTTACGGAGCTGCACTCAGGTGCCTGTGAGCTGTCTTGGATCCCACTGCCAGCCCTTCAGGACTCCGAGCCAGGGGGGAAGCTCCCCACTCCTATGGCTCTGGCCTCTGTTCTTTTCCTCTCATTCTTCCCCTCCTGGTTCTAGCGCATTCCATGTCTTGTATGTACCTCTCCCTTCAGCCTTCCTTCCTGTCTCCTCCGAGTCATTGCCTGTCCCCCGCATCCCTTCCTTACTCCCTACCCGCTGTTGCCTCATCTCTTTGTCCGTCTCTCCCACCGTCTCAGACACTCCCCTGCCTCTTCCTCTGTCTCCACCGTTTCTGTGCTTTCTCTTCTCACATCTCTGACCGTCTCCTCTCCCATAACCCGCTCCTTAATTTTTCTGTCCTTTAAGGGCTCCTGGCTGATTCAGACAGCAAGTCCACACGCTGGACTCATGACACAGATTCTTTGGGTCACCATTTTCACCCAGGCAGCCCAGAAAGCAAAGCTGAGCGTGAATGAGGTCCCGGCTGGAGCCAGCTCCAGCAGGCCTCCCCGAGCCAGCCTGCACCGCTGCCCCGGCAGTGACGATGCACGCGCCCTGGGCCCTGCCAGCACCTGGGTCCCTTTCTGCCTGAAGCCTGGTCCACAGGGAGCCCACTCCCAGCACCATCCCATGGTTCCAAGGACACTTCCTTTCGCTAAAGGCAGACTCCAGCCCCAACAGTTGTTCTGACAGCAAACCTCTTTCTTCTCATGGAAGCCATGCCATCACCTTGGTTTGGAGAGAGATATTTTTTTCTCCATTCATAAGCTTTCTTTTTCCTCTTTTCATCTGAAGCTCCCTCTGCTTTTCAGCTGGTGATTGCTCTGGTGAGATTGAATGGACTTGCTGGTGAAATTACATCTCTTTTTTCTTTTCCTGTCTTGGTCCTGCCTAAATTCCTACAAAAATATTTAAGTCAGAGACTCAGGCTAGTTCCTAAGTTCATCATAGTAATTTGTCACTCCTACAGGAACAAAAGGGGACATTTCCCTTAAGCATGTGGAGTCCCTCCTGTGACAATTGATTTGAAAGAGGACTCCCTCCAGAATTCTGTGGATATACATTTTATTTCTGTGTATGTATGGTATATGTGGTTTGTATATCATGTATACACATACCACATTGGGTACACATGAATGTGGATGGAAACCTACCCACACACTTTAGTCTGTAAATATCCTTCCTCACTGAGAACTGTGTTTGGAAATCATTTTCTGTACAGCTGTGCAGTTTCTTGTAGCAGCTGAGGACAAGCTTAAGACAGGTTGAATGGTTTAGACAAAGATCATCTAAAAGACAGAAGACAGAATCTCCCTAGCAACTCATGAGGACAGACAACCAAACAGCAAGCTTGGCTCCCAATGAGAGGGCGAACTTTTCTCCTTTTTGAATCTGTGTTTACTAAACGCGTCTTAACTTCCGAGTGCACCAGGCTGTATGCGTGAGATCCTTTCAATATGCCAAGTTTTGTAACAGTTTTCTCTCTGACTGGATGCTTCTCCATTGTGCAGGATGGGAGGGAGGGGGAACACTCCTTGCCTGGGCTGGAGTTTACAGAGACACTGCACAGCTTACACTCCTGTTAAGTGTAAATATTCGACACTTCCATTCCATTTGTGTAAAAAATAAAGCACACACGATTATAAAATCAAGATGTATATTTCATACTCACTGCGTCTTTGCATATTTATTGCGTTGCCAGTTGCCAGCGGTGGCCCCGTTGTAAAAAAATCCTTGATAGAGTGTTTATAAACATGTCATGGTTTTATTATAAGATATAAATATTAAAACATTTTATACTTTATAGCAAATTATTTTCTCTCAAAGCATAATTTGTCTTCTTTCACAAAGAATAGAATCATTGATTTCTATTTTTATCAGACTTGTCTGATTTTAGAGCTAAAGTGTAGTTAGACTAGATTTGCTCTGAAAAATACTGGCACTGCCAAGAGAAGCTGAAAGTGGTGCTCCAAAGTATTTTTGAATATTTGACTACCATCTTGCTTGCTTTTAATCAGGATTTTGCCAAGGGTGAACAATAGTATTAAATGATAGGGTTTTTTTTTAAGACCCTCACATCTGCATGAAAAAAACTTAATTCTACAGTTTCAAAATTGTGAGGTTCCAGAAGATACTAAGAATAGGGAAAAACAGTTTTTTCTTATCTGGTCCTAATGATGCAAAGAAAGGCATAAATTGGAAAGGAGGTGTCATTTTCCACTCATACTGAGGTCAAAACACATACCAGCTCCAAAGAGCGTAACACACCAAAAACGTCAGGTTTGAAAACCTGAATCTGCTGGATAATTCTTCCCTCCAGGCTAAATATATCCCTTTACATAAAGGCATTTGGACAGTGCAGGTCTCTTAGTTGGGGGAAGCAAAACAAATTTCTCCCATGAAAGGGGTGAGATTTCACCATCCAAGTGATCCCTCTGAGTACATTTTGCTTCATGATAAACTATCATGTAGTTGGATCAGCCACTGGGGGAAGCCAGACCTGGTCTGGCCACACTGTGAACCCACAGGAGTCTCCACCGGCTGCCCTGTCTCTGTCCATGGTGCTCGGGGGCGGTGAGCCCAGCCCATACGAGGCTGCAAGCCCAGTGCAGACCTCACACTCCAACAGTTATTCCATTTTTTTTTCTTTTTTTTTTTTTCCATTTATTTTTATTAGTTGGAGGCTAATTACTTTACATCATTGCAGTGGTTTTTGTCAGTTATTCCATTTTTAACATTTGGACTCTCATCAGATTTAATAATGTTAACACTAGACAAAAGCCAGATTCACTCAATAATGGGTGTCTTTATTGGGGAGGGTGGCGAGGGAAGCTTGAAGAGCTTTTGACTTTTGGGGTCCTGTTTAATTTCTTGGTAAATATTTTTAAGATGTGATCATTCTGGAAGTCTCTAAAGTTAGACGTGGACTGCATATCTTTGCACCTAAGATGACCTAGCTCTGCATCCATGGACTTTGTAGATACTCTGAGACTAAACACTCTTGACAGAATGTAAAAGCCTCGGTGGGGCACAAAGGTAAGGAACATTTGCAGAGGGGCCACCAGCTCTCTTGGCACAGACGATGTCGTCTATGGGCCGGGACTTCTGCGTCTCCTAACAGTGGGTGTCGTCCTCTGTGACTAACCTTTCCCTCAGGGACTCTTCAGAAGCCACAACTGCTCTCGTGAAGTTGATCCTCTTCCCCCTTCTAATGCTACAGCCATTGTCAAGTCCAGGACTTGTCCCTGATGCCCCTTAGCACAGCTGGGACAAAGCTGGAATACACGGGCAAACTTTGCTGAAGACTGCATATAACAAAAGGGAAACTACAGATGAGCTGATTTATGGGACAGGCTTAGTGCCCAGCACCTGGCCAGCTGCCACGTGACACAGGGCCATTTCCCCACCTCCCAGGGGTCTTTTAGACACAGTTGGACCTGAGGCCAACACTTCCGCTCTGGTGCAGCAGACTTGAGAGACATGGAATCCATGCCTGAGCCTGACTCAGCACTGCGTTCCCCCAGCATCAGCTACAGTAAAGACTCCTGCTGCCTCATTCCCTTTTGCTCCCATGTGCTAGAATACAAATGGGACAGAGTCACAGTGGTTAACTTTGATTCCTCTTTCATTGTAAGATTGCCTTAGATACAGATTCTGATGCAGCAGGTATGGGGAGGAGCTGAGTGCCCACTTTTCTAATTGGTTTCCAAGTGATGCTGACACTGGAATCTGTGCATGCGTCACTTCGGTCATGTCCAACTCTTTGTAACCCTAGAGACTGTAGCCCGCCAGGCGCCTCTGTCCCTGGTGTTTCCCAGGCAAGAATACCGGAATGGGTTGCCATGCCCCCCTTCAGGGGATCCTCCTGAACCAGGGATCCAAACCCACATCCCTTACATCTCCTGCTTTGGCAGACGGGTTCTTTACCACTAGCTCCACCTGGGAAGCCTGATGCTGAAATCACTAGGCTCTAATCCAGTCTGATTTTTCACACTGCTACTTACTGACCACCCACCAGTGGGTCATTATCCAGCATTTCTTTTTTATGAAATAGAAACTAGAGTGCCTCATGCATAGTGAGGATGAATATCATTTCATGTTGTATGAGGTATAAAAGCATTTCTTACTGTCTGTCATAGTCACAGCCTGAAAAACAGTGCCCTGACCTGCTCTCAGCCAGCTCCCAGAGACGCCTCTCCTCGTGAAGATGGGGGTCGGAGAACTGCAAACTATTGAGTCCTCGTGCCACCTCTCAACTTCTACCCACTAGTTCTAGTTTCAGAGTCACACAAACCAACGCATAGACCCCCTTCACCCAACTGAGACAGCGCGTGAAATTAGAAGCATCCACCTAAACTTACTAAATAATGACCACTAAGGCCCTAAATCTGCCTGGCTCGGGGAGATCCCCTGGAGGAGGAAATGGCAACCTGCTCTGGTATACTTGCTTGGGAAATCCCACGGACAGAAGAGCCTGGTGGGCTACAGTCCATGAGGTCACAAAAAGTCAGACACAACTGAGTGAGCACACACACAGTAGTGGTGTGGTATTAGAGTTCCTTGAAAAGAAGAGTTGATTTCTATCCAACAAAAATATAAAGCTAACAAGCTGGGACTTACCTGGTGTTCCAGTGGCTAAAAATCTAACTGCCAATGCAGGGGACGTGGGTTCGATCCCACACAATCCTGGACGTGGGTCTGGGAAGATCCCACTTGCCTAGGGGCAACTAAACCTGTGAGTCCCATCTACTGAGCCAGAGCTCCAGTCCTCAAGCTGCCACCAGTGAGCCCACGCACCACAGCTCCTGAAACCCCGAGCGCTCTAGAGCCTCTGCACTGCAACAAGGATCCGGTGTGGCCAAAAATAAATAAATTCATTCATTTAAAAAAAACTAACAAGTTGAGAGGCTGAACCTGATGGGGTTCAGGCACACTGCCCCAAGATGCACCACTCTGCACACAGATTATTTCCAGCTGAAAATAAGCAAGGCCTAGAAGACGCAAGAAGAACCTTTGAACTTTCCCCTAACTGCCTGAAAGATATTTAAGTTAGATAATTTAAGAGAGGCCTGTTCCGGGAAGAAGCTATCATCATAAATAACTCATGAAGTAGGTGTGATAGAGAGGAACCCAGCAAGGGCTTTTGATCAAAGTCCTCTCTGTGGTCACTGTCTCCAGATGACCTAACAGACATGGATTTACCAAACACTAACTCTTCCCATCTTGCTGTGAATTACCTTACTCCCCTTCAAAGTCCCAGACCCCTACACCTTCCCCTTAGTCCAAAATGACATATATGCCTCAGCTTGCCTTACTTGCAGGATAAGGGCAGATTCAAGCAACTACTAATCAGAGAAATAGGGAATGCAGAAACCAACCAATAAACCACAGCGCAGTAACTAAAGCAGTGATTAAAGATAGATAACAATATCTTTGAACTTTTCTACAAGAACAAAGACCCCCAACCAGGTGGAACATGGTAACTTCAGGCTGAACACAAGACTCCTAGACCCCCACCCTGTTACCTCACCACCAACCAATCAGAAGAAAGTCACTCACCCTGCAGCCCACACCCCAAATTTTGCCTATAAAAATTTCTCCTTGAAAACCTTCGGAGAGTTTGGCTCCTTCTTTGAGCAGGAACCACGCATTCTCCTGAAATCTTTCTCTGCTCCAGACACCAACATTTAGGTTTGTTTGGCCTCACTCTGCAGTGCTGAATCTCTCTTATGATGTTTCAGGAGGGGGCACCCCTTCCAGGGCTCAAAAGTGGGCTCCTGTCTAACACTCAGAAGTGAATTGTCCGAGGAGACACGTGTGCTGACAAGGCAACAGACTTTACTGGGAAGGGGCGCCCGGGTGGAGAGCAGGAGGGTCAGGGAACCTGGGAGGACTGCTCTGCCACATGACTGGCAGTCCTGGGTTTTATGGTGATGGGGTTCATCCCTAGCTTTTCTCCAGTCAGTCATTCTGATTCAGGGTCCTTCCTGGTGGTGCATACATGGCGTCTGCATTGCTCAGTCTAGATGGATTCCAGAGAGAAGGACTCTGGGAAGTTGGTAAGGCATACAGACTGGCGTCTACTTTCTCCTTTTGATCTTTCCTGAACTCCTCCAGATAGTGGAAGCTTGTTAGGTTCGTGTTGTTTACCAGGATCTCCTGTTGTAAGATAACTCATGCAAGTGGTTACTATCTTGCCTGGGCAGGGCGGGCAGTTTCAGTCAGGGGTTCCCCTGACAATGAGGTTCAGTTCAGCTCAGTTCAGTCACTCAGTTGGATGTGACCAAGTATTAATATCACCCTGTATTATCAGCAAATCCTACTGATAGAATTGTTTGAGAGTCTGTTTTTACATTGGTCCTCATACCCTGTGAAAGAGATAAGGTCATTTGCTTCCCCATCTTACAGGCAAATAGATCAGCACTGTAGGAAGCAGAGACTCCCCCAAGGTCGCATGGCCGGTGGCAGGGCGGGATCTCAAGATCAGGCCTCGCTCGTTCAGTGTCATTTACTGCTCCAGCAGACAGGCCTCGTGAATGTTAGCTAAGGATCTGCTTTGGAGCAGTTACTACCAAGAAACGGCCAGAAGGCTAGCCTGATGGACAAGCAGACAGCCATCTGCCTCCTACCTGGGTCAGCTGCCCCGTTAGGAATGAGTCACTGTCCA